CCATTTCCAAATTGGAAAACCTATCTGTTGTGGGCTGAATTGTGTTACCATCTGCCTCCCAAATGCATCTGTGGAATCCCCCAGTATCTCAGAAAGTGACTGTATTTGGAGATAGGGCCTTTAAATATGTGATTACTTTAAAGGAGGCCTTCAGGGTTGCCCCTAATCCAATCTGACTTGTATCCTCGTCAGAAGAGGAAATTTGAATAGGCAGGGGGACACCAGGGGCTTGTGCACAGAGGGAAGACCAGGTGAAGACATAAGGAGAAGGCAGCCATCTGCAAGCCAAGGAGAGAGATCTCGGGGAACCAAATCTGCCGACACCTTGATCTTGGACTTCCAGCCCCCAGAACTGTGAGAAATTGAATCTCTCTCATTTAAGTCACAGAGTAGTTTCTCATGGCAGCCCTCACAGACTAGCTGAAACTCTGCCCTTATCATCACTGTTTTTCCATTTTGGACTAAGTCTTTATATCTAAGTCCAGAAAGAAATATGAACATTAAGGAAGAAGAACCTAATAGTAATAATTCATGGGTCACCAAGTATGTGCCAGGCACTGTACCGGGTGCTCCATGGTCTGCCAACCTTTACTCCACCTAACAGCTCAGCGAACTCAGGACTGTAGAGGTTGAGTAATTGTAATCAACTCAAGATCGTACAATTAGCAAAGAGGAAGAGGCTGCATTTGAATATACATCTGTCCAAGACAGCCAAGCGGCACAGAAAGAGCAAAGGCTTTGGGAGCTGCATGACGGGTTTGAAGTCAGGTTTGTTGCTAAATGGCAGAGTGTGACTTTGGGATGGATCATTTGCCTTCCATGAGCCTCAGTGTCTTCAAGTGTAAAATGAGGATAATACTATGTATCTTGTAGGATCAAATGTGATACACAAAAGAATAAGAACATAGTATAGATTCAAACATAGTCAGCTCCTCTATTCTAGCTTGTGCAGGCAAAGTCAAAACAAGAATCCTTGACCCCAGCATTTGCAGAAACCGACTTATTTCAGCAGTGCTTTTTGGTTTCACAAAGAAAAAGTCTATTTCTATATTGATTCATATGTGATCAATTAAAAATTAAATAAGCTGATACCTATCAGGTGACTGATTTGTCTCTATCTTTAACCTGGCCCATGACTAGTTGCATCTTGGGATGTCTATGCGCAACCTGGGCACGGGTTGAAGGAAAATCAAGTTAAGACTGGTTGGTTTTAGCAGGTCAGAACTGAGCCAACAGAGACTAGTGTTTGTCTATATATATATATATATATAGATAGATATATATATCTGTTTAGGAATTCTGACTTGAAGTTAAGTCTATTTTTAACTTGGCTTTCTTAAAGAAATCACTATTCAATCATGGCTAAAACTCCTGCTCAGCTACAATTATCTCAAAAAGTTTAATTAAAAAAATAAAAAGGAGTACCACTTAGTACCACACCTTGACTCAAAACCACCTCCTTCAATTTTCTAGATAAGTGACCTTGGCCAAATTCCCTAATGTTCTTAAACCTATTTTCCTCATCTGTAAAATGACCACAATAATAACTATGTCACTGTTTGGTTGTAAATAATAAATGCAATTATATATGTATAGTGCTTAATGATAATAGCATTTTCAGAGCATTTGCTATGTGCCAGTCACTGGTCTAAGCACTTCACTTGAATTTATTTAACTCAGTATAGTCCTACAACAACTTTGTGAAATAGGTACTATTTCATCTTCATTTAACTGACCAAGAAGCTGAGATTCAGAGAAGTTAAGTAACCTGTTCAAGGTCACACAGCTAGGAGGCAGTGGAGCTCAATTCAGAGGCAGGCAGTTTGTTACAGAGGCCATGCTTTTAGACTTTATGAGATGAATAAATATTCAATACCCAATACCTGCAATTGTATTGAGAGAAAAATCATCCCTTTTAATCTATTATTTAATTTTGCATTTTATCTGTTTCCATTTAAAGAGGATTTTGTTCAAAGTTACTAAATAAATAGTTTATTTACTGTTTAGTAATTCCTGTAAATAGGAATGCTTTGCAAAATTATGTGAATGATGGTTTGTTCCAGATTTAACTTAGTTTCACCTAAGAATTATTTTTTTAATTACACAAATTACATTGATGATAAAATTATATAGCTACTGTCAATGAAACTAAATAATGTTATCAACACAGAAACTGAGAAATGTATATCAGAAACCACAGGGAGATATGTTTACTGGGTAAAGAATACTTTTTTTGGTTTTAGAATATACATATATAATGTCCTATACGTATTTTAAGTCAAAATGTACATTTAATACAAAATATGAAAAAAAGTATCAAGACACTCTGCTTCAAAAAATACCATACCAATGTATTTTTTCCAGTCTTGTAAGTTGTGCAAAAAGGGTAATCATAATATATGGGGGATCTCATCATCTAGTTCAAATTTTCCATCTTCTCTCAAACACATACCTCATATTTATCTGTACTTTTCTTCATTCAACATGTACAAGCACACACTTTGGGTAGCCCTGTGCTGGATGCTGGAGATACCCCGAAAAAAAGACCCAGTTCTCCCTTCAAGGAAAACTGGACACACAGGGTTAGTCAGATCATTAGAATAATGCGATCAGTGTTTTCACTGTAGAATTTTCACAGCTGAGTTGAAAGACAAGAGAAGAAATTAGGCAGGGAAGCATCCTCAGGTGAGAAGACAGAAGAAGGCAAGGGCCCGAAGCTTGGCGAGTGGGGTAGGTTTTCACTGATTCCACTTCCTAGACTCTAAAGAGAGGCTACGAGAAAGACCCGGGGTGTGGAAGGCTATGCCCTCTTCCCATGCGGTGCCCGAGAGTTTGGGTATTTTACGGATTTTGAAAGTGAGAATGTCCAAGCATGACTAGATCAATAGGTTAGAACTTTTCCTGGAAGGAGTGTGGAAGCCGAACTGGATTTAGGAAATTTGTGGGCAAAGTAATTCAGGATGTTAATTCAATTGCTATCCCAGGAGAAAGTTAAGGGTCTGAACAAAGATGGTGACAATGGAAGCTGAGAGGAAAGGGATTAAAAGGTACTAACTGCCCTAGATCCCAGTTCTTCCTATGTACTATAAATACATAAATAAATAAATAACCAAACAAACAAAAAACTGTTTCTCACTTTTTCTTTTCTAGCTCACATGTATTATTTATGGATAATCCAGAAGTAATTAGTTAGAACAGATATTTATTGCATGACTTTGTGCCAGACATTGAAAGAGTGCTTTATATGTATTACATAATTTAATTTTCACCAAATTCTTATAGGAATTGCTACTCTACTAAGTAGAAGTCTGAGGCACAGAGAGTTGAAGAAACTTGCCCAAGGTCAGACTGCTGGTCAGGTGAGATCCAAACTCATTTTGTGTCAGTCTGAAGGCAATGCTCTTCTGCACCCACAGACTGCTTCCGGTTCCTCTCACTCTCACAGACTCCTGGCCTTTTAAGCTGAATCAGTCCTCCTGTCCTTCCTTAGAGGAAAAACTGGTTTTTCCTCTGATCTTCCTGACTACTATCTCATCTATTTCTTTCCATGTAATATCTTGAACTCCTACGGTACCCATCTTCTCCCCAGCCATTTTCTCCTTAAATTTCAGCCATTTGGTTTCTGTGCCTTGTAAATTTATTCACACTAATTCTTTTCTTGAAAAATCTGAAGCATTCCTCCATCTGTCTTTTCCTTGTGCTGCTTAGAGTGTCTGTATAATTAACCACTCCTCTCTTCTTGAATCTATTTTCCCCCATATGTGCTGCAACACTTAGCTCTCCCAACATGGTCCAATGTTCCTCTAGTGGTTCCTTCTCTGTTAGTAGTTCCTTCCCGCTGAAGAGCTCATTCCTTTTCTTCTCTGTTCTGTGCATGCCACTAGAGGTATTGGGTTTTTGTTTATTTCCTTTTTTTTTTTTTGTCCTCTGCTGTTCTCTTTCAATATGATCCCTCAACGCACTCTTCATATTATGACTTTTAATGATCGTGATAGAATGTAAATCTCTTTTCCTGTCTTAATTTCTCAACATTTTTTGAAGACCCAATTTCAAATCAACTTGGAAGTCTTTCTTCCGGCTTACTGACAACATGTATTTCACACAGCCCGCCCAAACACCTTCAGTGCTGACCCAGTCACCTTCGCCCATATCTCCAATAAGCAGCAAGGAAGTACACAAAGGCTTCATTCTGCTGTTAGTCAAGCCTTTTTGCCTGACTTTCATCTCCCCAAATGCTTAGGTTTCATAATACATGCCAACCAGGTATTAAGCTTACAGAATTAAAATTGAAGCCTGCAGGTGATAACAGGAAAAAAAAAAGTGATTAGGTCAGAAAAACAGCCCTGGCTGAATGCATCTTGGGTAGACAGCTTATACTCAAGTTCCTGGAGAACTGAGAACCTCTTTCGCATACTGGCAACTCAGAGCCTCCAAAGCTAGTCTGATTCAATGAGTAAGCATTCCATTGAACCAACAGTTCACCAGGCTAACAGCGACTCTGGAAGTCCTGTGCAAGTAAAGGTGACACACAATTGACACTCGGATCGCCAAGACATGGGAATTCAGACGTAAACTTAGATGGAGACAAAGAGCAACACCCCTAAGATTTTGCTCTATTTGCTTGTTTTTGTTTCTTATTGGGGGGGGGGCGGCGAAAGAGGGGAGGATGTTCGGGTAGGAGGAGGAAACCAAGCTCCTGAGCCCCTCCTCTGCCCTCCTCTTATCCCGGTGGTCTTTAGCGCACTGAAGGTAATCTGTTTTGTTTTGTTTTGTTTTGTTTTGTTTTGTTTTGTTTTTCCTGTCAGAGCCCGGCCAGCCGCTCAGTCAGAGGCCAAGGGGAGGCTCTGACCCGGGCTGAGAGTCAGGAAGGCAAAGATCGCGAAGCTTGGCCTCTCCGAGCGCTCAGGGCCAGGTGACACAGCCGTGGGTTCCCCGGCGCGGGCTTGACAGTTTCATCCCCGCCCACTCGCAGGAGAGCGCCCGGCAGGGCTGGCTGCACGCGCGCGCGCAGGGGGCCATAAAAGCTGCAGCGGCGCCGAGACGCCGAGCTCGCCCACCGCCCCGAGCAGCGGCCGCACCATGCACGTGAATGGCAAAGTGGCGCTGGTGACCGGCGCGGCGCAGGGCATCGGCAGAGCCTTTGCGGAGGCGCTCCTGCACAAGGGCGCCAAGGTAAGTGTGGCGCCCGGCCGCGGAAACTTGTCTTCCCACCCCGACCCTCGTCCCCCCCAGCCACATGACTCCCCGGGTAGCCAGGGCGCCGCGTCCCGGGCTGCCCACCTTGCGGCTTTCAAAAGCTGCTGAGGCTGACCGTCTCGAGCAGACCTCCGAAGCGGCTGGGGAGAGACCCCCAACTTTAACTGCAGAATCTGAGGTCCAAGAGGGGAGCGTCCTGGTGTTTATTTACTGTTCGTCTGTTTCACAAGCTGCGCAGGACCTTGATGCCTCTCCTCTTGTCTATAGGTAGCGCTGGTCGATTGGAATCTTGAAGCAGGTGTAAAGTGTAAAGCTGCCTTGGATGAGCAGTTTGAACCTCAGAAGACTCTCTTCATCCAGTGCGATGTGGCAGACCAGGAACAACTGAGAGGTAAGAGAGGGGGAATCGATCCATCAAATCCGATCCATCCATCGGAACATGCCTTGAACAAGCAACGACCTGAAGGCAGCCCGGGCCAGAGAGCCAGCCTGGGTGCAGGCAGATCGGCTGCCTCCTGGAGAGCAGCCACTTAGACGCTCTAGTAGATAGCTTAGACTGTTAGGTTCCCTACCCACATCCTGATAGCTATAAAGACCAAGGGGGGAAAACCGAGACTGCTTGAGAAATCTTTTATTTTAGTCATTTGGCAGCACATAATGTAATCAAAATTCCTTTGTGTATTCAAAGACCGTGCTGCAGCAGTAATTATTAAATGATTGAAATTGCAGATGGAACTTGGAAAGTGGGAAGTAGGCTAAGGGACTGTGGCAAACAACTTCTCCCAGAACGCTGGAAGACGCAGAGTCCAATGACAACCAAATGTGGCAATGTTTCCTTTTAAACATACTAGAATGCAAGATCAAGGATCATCATCAGAGACGTGCTAGATGCTTTCAACCAAATGTTCTCTCTGGTTTTTCCCCTCTGAAATGGTACTTTAAAAATAATAATAGCTGTACTGCAGTGTTAGAATTGCAGAAGAAAAATTTCTATCAGACTTTCCTCAACACTTTCCTGTTTCCGGTCTACTTCCTTAAAATAGAACAATCTACTTGTGAGATACCAAGGACAATATTGGTGTGTACAATAAACAGATTTGGTCATATGGAGGCCTGATAGACTCGCATAAAAAAAACAAACAAACACCTTTTTCTGGAAAAAAAGTAGAAAAATAAAATACATGTATTTCACAAAGTTTTGTTGGAAAACTAAATTGTTAGGCACATCTTTAACGAAGGGGCCAAAAATCTTCCATAAAAGTCATTCTAGTACTCCTGTTCTTAAACGAACACTGAACGTGAGAATTGCTTTGAAATGTTGGGATATTCTATAAAAGGGTAAAGATGGAGTGGTACCTTAGAAGGGAGTGTTCCCCCACAGCTAAAGGAAATTGTTTTAAAGGAAATTACGTAATTAAATCTGAAAATGCTAATAAAGACCTATAACATGAATTACAAGCACAACTAGAAGAGATCTGTGAACCACAGTGCTAGTGGAACATATTTTGCCAGAGGACAAAGTTCTGTTGATTGTGCATGATATTTTGGATCAAGGATAAAGTCATGCCAAATCCCAACATCCATGCTGATGAAATAGGAAACAGTATAGATCATCTGAAAGCTATTTCTGCCTGAATTTATGTAGTTTCACATGTGACATTTAACCTTAATTGTTTTGCTTCCCAGTATTTAAAATTAGTATCTTGGCTGTAAACACATTCCTTAAGGATAAGTGATTGTGGAGGAGGAAACTCAGACACATAATGAGTGACCAGAAGAAGGCATGTTGGTCATGAGAAATCCACATGTTGTCTGAACATCAGCATTTATTTGCATTTAAGGAAGACATGGCCTTGACTCTAACAATTTCAGGATTTAATGCCATCTACAGCTTTTGAAACTGTTTAGGCTGTGGCCAAGAGAGACTTCTTTGAAATCACATAAATACGGAAGTGAAAAGTTTCTTAGAGATGATCTAGACAGAATTCATATTACAAATGAAAAAAATACAACATGGAGAGTTTGGGTAAATTATAGAGTTCCCCAAGCTTCTAAATGTCAGCAAGAGCTTAATTGTAAGCCATTTGAGCCCAAAATTCAGTGTAGGCCAGAAAGAAGATGATGTATTAGATATTGATAAGGGCAGAGTATAAGGAATACAGTAGAGACCAGAATGAGGAAAGAAAAAAGCAATTAGACTTATGTACTTAACAACCTAATTTCCTATAAGATGGATGTGAGTTTTGAAAAGTAGAACATGTTTCAGGTGGAATGCAAAAAAAAAAAATATTCCTTAGATGTTTTCTGCTAGAGGACCTTTCTGGAATCAATTTGAGATTTTAAGCAGTTTAAAAATTCCATGAAAAAGTAAACAGTTTTTATTTTCTTGTTTTCTATTCCAGTATGGTAAAGTACTGTAAATAATGGCTTTTGAAATATTTTTGGCAATTACCTTGCATAGTAATTTATCCATTTGGGAACTGATGAATCCATGCCCTCTTCAATATGCCTGGTGGTTGTTAATAATTCTAGATTTTATTCAATCAGAATAAAGTTTGTGTGGATTTACTGTTTTCAAGGAACTCATATATTGGCCCTAAGACCAGAGAATACATTTCTGTCATTTGGAAGAACAGCCATGAATATTATCTGTAGTCTCAAGTAATAGAGCTAGAACCAATGGTAAAGGGCCCAAGGAAACAGTTTAAATCTATAGAACTCTTGTCAAAGGCTGCTTTGAGAAATAATGTGTTACCTGATACAAAAGTGGTAAAACCAAGTATGAACTGGCTAAGGAGGGTTTGCAAGGCCTGGACGGGGTATGTGGTTGGGCAATATAATGAATGAACTTCAGGCCTCAGGATCTATGCAGACTTTACCTTGGTTGAACATAGTTTTTACACAAACTAGTAATACAAAGTAGCAATAATAGTGACAAAGAGAAAAGAATGAATAGTAAATATTGAAGTTACAGTATCCAAATCAACTGAATGAAAAGTACACTTTTACTTGCTGGAGTATCAGACCCCCTGAAATGATCATAATGGATCTGAATACACAAGACGACTTGTGTTTAATATAACACTTTATAAAGATAATATGGCTTATTCAAAAAGGGTGTTTGTCATAGTCTAAGCCACAGAACTTCAGTAATTTCTTAAGGACAGAATTTTAGAGTGTGCGAGCGCGCATGAGTTGGGGGAGCAGCGGAGGGAGAGAATCTTCCATCAGACTCCCCACTGAGTGCAGAGCCCCCAGTGAGGCTCAATCTCACATGACCTGAACCCAAACCAAGAGTCAGATGTTCAACCGGCTGAGCCACCCAGGCGCCCCAGATTATGTATTTCTAACAAGTTTTGAGGAATGCTCTTGTTGCTGTTGGCTCACAAACCACGCTTTGAGAAGCAAGGCATTAAGTCACAATCTAAGAGTGTAATTTTCATTATAAAAGTAGATAAATGAAAATTAATTTCAGGGCACAGGGTAGGATTGAAATTACCTATGGAATACAAGACTGTATCTATGTCTTCTTTTTTTTACTTAGATACCTTTAGAAAAGTTGTAGACCACTTTGGAAGATTGGACATTTTGGTCAATAATGCTGGTGTGAATAATGAGAAAAACTGGGAAAAAACTGTGCAGATTAATTTGGTAAGCTGTCTTCGCCATGTTTATTGTCTGAACTTATTTAATAAACTGATGCTTTTAAAGAAGAAAAGGTTCTTACATTCATGGGATCAATACAATGACCCCTAACCTAGAAAAAGCGAAGTTGCAGAAAGCTAGAACAAAGCATTTCCTTTTACAAATGGGAAGACATTTGAGGCTTCTAATGATGCAAATAATTCTGTCTTAAAAATCTTAAAAGGAAATATGAAAAAAACTCATAGTTTATTGCATAACTTAGGAGTTAGCAAACTATGGTCCATAGGTGAAACTAGCCTGCCACCTGTCTTGTGTGACTTACAAGCGAAAAATGGGTCTTACATTTTTTAATGGTTGAAAAAATGTAAAAAGAATATGAAATATATCAATATATGAAATTCAAATTTCAGTGTCTAGGGTTTTACTGGAGCAGAGCTCCAGTCATCCATCTGCTTATTACCTGTGGCTGCTTTTTGCTGTAGCCGCAGAGTTGAATCATGACAACGACCCTACAATGTGCACTGACTGAGCTATTTACCATCTGGCCCTTTACAGAAAAATATTTGTCAATCCTGGCTTAACTTGTTTATTTAAAAACTAAGTCTTAATTTAATTCCAGAAATGTAACAGAAAGCAAGGCTAAAGTGACTGTTGGACTTTGTAATTATTAGGATTTTTATCCTGCGAGTCGGGGTGTGGGTGTGTGTGTGTGTGTGTATGTGTTTATGTATAATTTCTACCATGTTTGATGATCATTTAGCTCTTAAATTACAAAACTGCAGAATTAGGAAATAAAATTTGTTTTAGTCTCTGTATCACAAGTTTGTTGGTTATCCCATTTTATAAATACACTTCACATAAGATCTTGGGGTTTAGTAAAACTTAAACCTTAGCCAAAGGAAATTGTAAGAGCTAGGCTCTGCATGGGGTCACCCTGCCCTTGGTAAGGTCATTCTACTAGTCTTGCAAAACAGGTATGTGTCAAGTATAGAAGGACCACTTGTGTGTATAAACATACAGGGAGTGGCCCCCTACTTCATGATATCCTCCCCGGGGGAAGATGATAAACTCCTTAAAAACAGGATGTGTTATGTTTTTTCTTTCTTTCTTTCTCAGTAATCAACACAGTATCTTGAAGATAGTGCTTAGTCAATAAATGTTTGACTTGAATCTACATTCCCATGAATAATTTCTTAACTGTAATAACTTGATGGGAGTAATGAGAGTTACACTACCTCACAAAAGAGTTGAATAACTTTGATAAGGGTACAGAGTTTCTCCCCAAACTTGACAGATGCCTGACATCCTTTAATCGAGAATGAAAGGTACTCTTTCCGGTTCTTTTTTTAAAGTTTGTCTCGGGGCACCTGGGTGGCTCAGTCGGTTAAACATTTGCCTTTGGCTCAGGTCCTGATTCCAGTGTCCTAGGAATCAAGCCCCACGTTGGGCTCCCTGCCCAGTGGAGAGTCTGCTTCTCCCTCTCCCCCTGCTTGTGCTCTCTCTCTCTCTCACGCACTCACTCTGTCAAAAAAATAAAAATCTTAAAAAAATAATAATAAAATTTGTCTCAAGTGTTCCTAGATAGCATCAGATTTCAAATAACTTTAAAATTTATTTGTCAAGTTTCCCCAAAAGTCTTTCTGGGATATGTGTGTGTGTTTAGAGACCTGACCTGTCAACATTTATGTTAAATTTGTCTCTTGTTGACAGTGTAGCCTGAGCTTTTTAAGTCACATCTGAGCATATCTGCATTTTATATTTGTGAATTTAAGCCACTTATATTTATCATTACCCTTTATTGGGATTTATGTCTTATATTTTTGTTCATATTTTATTTTTTAATTACTTTTTTAAAGATTTCTTTTAGAAAGAGAGTGAGTGGGGGGAGGGGCAGCGGGAGAGGGAGAGAGAAAGAGAAGCAAACTCCCTGCTGAGTGTGGAGCCCGATGTAGAGCTTTATCCCACGACCCGTGAGATCATGACCTGAGCTGAAATCATGAGTTGAATGCTTAACTACTGAGCCACACAGGCTTTAGTTCATATTTTGGATTTACTAAGTTTTCTTTTTTTGCTTTTGACCTTTTTCCATTCCGTTCTTAAATTCCACTGGATACCTTTAATTCTTTTCTGCTGGTAAGAAAATTGTACATTTTATTTATTTTTTTTAAGATTTTATTTATTTAAGAGAGAGAGAGATCATGCACAGGAGTTGGTGGGGGCAGAGGGAGAGGAAGAAGCAGACTCCCCACTGAGCAGGGAACATGACTCAGGGCTGGATCCCAGGACCCTGGGATCATGACCTGAGTCAAAGGCAGACTCTTAACCGACTGAGCCACCCAAGCACCCTGAAAATTATACATTTTATTAATCTTTGGTGGTTGTCCCTGACTTATTATGAACGATGTATTTCATTGTATCTTTTGGTTGCCAGATGGGAAAAAAAATGAATGTATAACCAATTGAGAACTTCAGGAATATTTAAGAATATATTTTTATAAACTTAATGGCACTTTCCACAACCACATAAAGTGACGAGAATTTCTTTGCATCAGGTTCTGCTAGTGAAAAAGCACAAATCACACAGCAATTTTCTCACTACTGGTATTTTTAATAGTTTCCTCAGTAATATCTACAGATATTTTATAGACAAAGATCACTAGATTATAAAGTTCCTATATTTGTTGCATTCATAATGGACACCTACTGTGTCTTTTCTCTAAGAAATCAGCTGTCAGGACGCCTATGTGGCTCAGTCGGTTAAGTGGTTAAGCATCTGCCTTAGGCTTAGGTCATGATCCCAGGGTCCTGGGATCCAGCCCCACATTGGGCTCCCTGCTCAGCAGGGAGTCTGCTTCTCCCTCTCCCACTGCCCCTCTCTGCACTCACACTCTCTCTCTCTCTCTGAAATAAATAAATAAAATCTTTAAAAAAGAAAAAGACAAATCAGCTCTCAGAAAACTGTGCAAAATGATTAGAGTTAATATAAAGAACATAAAAATAATGACGCGATTATCACAAAGGTAATAGGATTAGAATTATCAATCTTCGCCGGGCTGGCTGGGAGGGCATGTTTGCTTTCACATGGTCTGGGTGAATAAACACTTGCTGCAGGCTAGAAATTCTTACATTATCTGCAAATAGAAAATTCTAGAAGACCAGGAGAATTTTATTTGACTCCTTTGGTTACAACTCACTCTCTTAGATCCTTCCTCATTGAAATTATCTGGCCTTTATTTTTCTTTGGACTCTGCTGAGATAGGCCACTCCTTAGCTTAACTCCAGGAACTAATGACATTTATTTCATTTTACATCTAGAGAGCAAGCTATAACCTTTGTTACCTCTATATAAGTTGAAAACATGTTACTTCCCTTCCTACCTGCAACACCCAGTTCAGTTCAAGAGTAGATTAGAGTCTGACCTATCACTATCCTTCCAACTTGATTATCTCTGTTAGTATAATGCAAATATTTGTGTTTGGTTTATATATTTTTTATACTCTGGATGTAATTTGCCTCCTTTTATGATACCATGCATGTTCTTTTGCATGTTCTTCTATGTTCCTGTCCCTATCAGAGTAACCACCTAGTTAAAGGACCTCACCACATATTTCTTCCTCTTCTGGAATCTTGTATACCATAATGATACCATTCTTATAGGGCTTACACATTTTAAAATTATATTCGAATTATTTTTATACCTGTGCAGTTTATGCCAGTATGCTATAAGCTCTTTCAAGGCATGAAATTTTTGTTTTGTGTACAGAGTAGATGTTCAATTTACATTTATTGGATACATAAACTGCCCTTCTATGATATTTTACATACAGGAATATTCATTTTTGTATTTTAATACAATGTTTGGATTATTTCCAAATACATCAGTGTTGCCGAGCTGTATCATCTGTCCTACTTTTACCCCTTACCAAACTTACCACTTCCTTATCCTTAACTCAGCCCATCGCACCATTTTTCCCACACACGAGATACGTTAAACCTCTTCCCATTCTTTTGTTTCCATTAGGCTATTCTGTGCTTCCTCCTTAGTCTGAAGCCAACTGCAGTTGCTCTATTTATAGCTACCCAGGGCTCATTAGGAATGTTCAGGAAAGACTGAATCTTTGAATAACTATCAAAGGTTTCTCTGGCAACTGCGTGGGTGGAGGTAGACTTAACTTTGAATATTGATAAGGCCATTCTGTAATATACTTCTTTTACTTTCTGATCTTTAATAAGCCTAAATAATTCATTCCCATTCAGGTGGGATTTATAATCTAATTTGGACATGTAAATAACATATTGAATCCCTTAGTGTACTCGAAATAAAAACTAAAAAAATAGATGGCTTATTGCGGTTGATTATTTTTTTCAGAAATACAAGGGTTCACTAAAGATTTGCACTGGTAAGGGTATACATTTAGATTCCGTCAAAACGAGATGACAGTCCTGAATTTAGAATTCATGAACTTTTATTTCATTTCTCTGGTCTTGAATTTCCCAGTTGTAAAAGGTGAAGATAATTTCCTTACCTGGAAGAATGGTTAAGCTTAAATAAACCCTAATTTACATGAAGTATCCAGCATAGTGCTACTACATAGTATCACTCAATAAATTACATTTCTCATCCAGAATGTCAAAACTTATATTTTCTTCATTCTCACAATCTCATTTCTATATGAAGTGGATTCTTCTGCCCTACTCTGCCTCTAAGGAAGAGTTGAGAAGATGGGTAGAAATGTTGTCAAACGTACGCCCTTTTCTTGGCTCCCGAGGATGTTGATTACATATTAAATTGGTAACTTCTCTCTGTTTTGTTACTCCTACTCCATAATATTTAAAGATCTAGTTGAACTATTATGGTTAGGCAGAACTTGCTAAATTTTAAGTAGCTCCGCAGGAGGGAATACAATAGTATTTATCACATAAATAAGCAAAAATGGAAAAAGACTGAACACAGAGAAACAAAAGATAGAAAAGAATTTCAGAAAAAAAAAAGTGGTCCTCTATATTAGTACTCCTCGAGAATTGGGCTGGACAAAAAACAAGAAACCTGAAAGGCAACGTTTCATGATTTAGATGACAGGATTTTTAAAATTAGAGCTAGAGTGTAGCACAAGAACCAGAAATAAACTAAAAGGAACCTCAGAGGGGAAGAAGATAAGATAAGGAAAATGATAGATTAGGAAATTTCAGTAGTGAATACATGCATGTGTGCTTTTTGTATATAGGTTATGGAAATATGTATGTTATATAACATACTGTATATTATATATAATAATATATATTATATTACATATATATAGTAAGAAGACATGATGCCTGATAAGAAGAGTTAAACAAATATGCTATTACCATTTATCCGTTTATCTTTGCTACTTAAGAATTATTCCCAGTACAGGGGAATTTATGAGTGGTTTTAACTTATAAGGTACTTTAATCTGTGGAAAAAATGAATTTAAGATTTGGAATACAGCACAGTTATAATTTTGGTATTACATATAAAAATTATTCATAACCAAAACTATTGAGTAAGCATGTGTTAATTAGTTCATTTTGTCAGTAAGTGGATTTTTATTTGCACTATGTGAAATTAGCCATGGGATTTTCTTTTTCTTTTTTTTTTTTTTAAGATTCTATTTATTTATTTGACAGAGAGAGAGAGAGAGATAGCGAGAGCAGGAACACAAGCAGGGGGAGTGGGAGAGGGAGAAGCAGGCTTCCCGCCGAGCAGGGAGCCCGATGCGGGGCTCGATCCCAGGACCCCGGGACCATGACCTGAGCTGAAGGCAGAGGCCCAACGACTGAGCCACTCAGGCGCCCCATGGGATTTTCTTCTTCTTTTTTTGAGAGTTGAGTACACCGTCTTTTGAAGGTCAAGTACAAAATTGAGAGTACCTTTGTGATAGACTAAAATAATACAGATCCCTGGTATTCTGTTTGTAGCTAGAATACGTCTATAATTTTCATTTTCTTTTTTTCCCCTAGATGCTTGATATTTTAGTGACCCACTCTATGTGCTATATAAATATTGCCAAGAGACAAGAAATAGAATATTAACAAAAACATTTTATTCTGTGGTTTCTTCGCGTTTCCTTGAATCTATTACCTGGGATAAGGAAGAGATTGTTGCGGGAGAGGACGACATATGCCCCAGCCAAAGCATTAAACCCTGTTTTGTAGATTTATTCCGAGAACACTTTCATTTGAAAAGTTCCTCAGTTCTTAACTTGGTAATAGGTGGGAAAATAATACGTTGTCCTCTTCCACCAAAGACCTGGAAATAAATCTTCCTTTTTTTAAAAAATTAAAGCTTAAATATTCCCAAACTTTCTATCTGGCTGCATCTAGTAGATGTTGAAAACACAAAAGCAGGGTGTCAGCAAAGCTATAAATACCTGAGAATAAAAGCATAGCGCCAATATGCGTAAACAGAAATTCTGTTCAGACTTGCTAGAGACTTAGGCAGAAACTACCAGAATCTAACTCACTTCAGTTATTTCAGCCATGTACATTTTTTCCTTCTTATATAAACCATTTAATGTTTTGTATTTTTTCTTGTGAAGGGAATCATGTGGAGATTTTCCTCATTCTCCCTAAGCTTACTTAATATCAAACTGACACATGGCTTAAGTGAGTAGAATCTTCAATTTACTTTTTTGTTCTAGAACTACTATTAGGTAGAGTGGCAACGTTGAATGTGTGACAAGAAAACTCCAAATGGACTTTTTAAAATAAAAAGAAGGTAACCACCACTATATGCTCTCAGTTTCAGACTCATTACTGTTGTGTCATTTTCTTTGCCGTATTGTGAAGAATGCAAAAAGTAGGAATTAAGATATCAAAAGAAAATGTTCACCTTCTCAAAGTCTGAGTTGGAAGGGAGAGGAGTTCTTAAATCTAAAAGGGAAAATAAGGCTTCAAGTAGAAGTTTTGTACCACAGGTTGTTTTTGGTAGTGGCAAATCCTCCAATGTTAGAATACAACAGGGACGCCGGGGTGGCTCAGTCGGTTGAGCGACTGCCTTCGGCTCGGGTCATGGTCCTGGGGTTCTGGGCTCGAGCCTCGCATCAGGCTCCTTGCTCAGCTTCTCGCTCTGCCTGCCGCTGCCCCTGCTTGTGCTCTCTCTCTCTCTCTCTCTCTCTCTCTGACAAATAAATAAAATCTTAAAGAAAAAAAAGAATACAACATAAAATTTGCCTACGCAGGGAGGTGAGTAACCAATCAGAGTAAAGTCTCAAAAAGACAGTACGAGAGTGATGAACAAGATTAAGTGACAGACATTACAGAAGACCCTGTGTCCACCTGACCGAAAAGTCGGGGTCCTGAAACTGAGTAAGAGAATGATGTGATCTCACACAACACAGACATCACGAGAGCTTGATACTGCCACACAGTGATCCCAGAACCCAGTTTCTTTTCATCTCCCCAGTTTGCCTTCCTTCATGGAGCTTTCAGCTTAAGGATACTAGCAGTGTAACTGTGTATTCCAGCCCCACGCCCATACGGAGGGATGGAAAAGGACTAATGTAATCATTTCTTTCTGGTTTTCTTTTTTTCTTTTATTTTTTTAAAGATTTTATTTATTTATTTGAGAGACAGAGAATGAGAGAGAGAGAGAGCACATGAGACAGGGGAGGGTCAGAGGGAGAAGCAGACTCCCTGCTGAGCAGGGAGCCTGATGCGGGACTCGATCCCGGGACCCCAGGATCATGACCTGAGCCGAAGGCAGTCGCTCAACCAACTGAGCCACCCAGGCGCCCTCTTTCTGGTTTTCTTAAAAGCAACAGTATTTTCAGCCACATCCTCTTCTACTGCCCTGCCCTGACCCGGACCCCCTCTAGCTGACTGCTCCTCAGGTCTCACTGGCTGGAAATGGGTCCCATGTGGGCTCCTAAACCAGTCACTAGCACAGAGAATGGGATTTCTGTGACTGAACAAAATTAATCAGTGTCCACACTAAACCTGGGGAGATCACCTTCCTCGTGAGTTACTTGGGGAAGAAGTAGATACAAATGCCAAATAGACTTTTTATTAGAAATTAAAAAAAAAAAAGGACATGAAAACCATGTAGGAAATCAAGGGTTTCCACTATTATATATTCCAAGATCCAAGAGAATTAAAATGTGAAAGACCTGGATCTGAGAACCATATGCTAAGAAGGGTAAATAAATTTTTACCCAATATTTAGAGAAGAAAAAGAATACTGCATGTACAATTCTCGAAGATGCCAAGATTTGAGGTCAAGTGACAAAGCACTGTAGGAATACAACTTTTTTCATCAAGTCTCAGATTGGGCAACCAAATCAAGTTTTGCAGAGATGTGAGAAGCTCTACAACTGTAGGCAAACAAAAGAGAAGCTAGTCAATGACTGGCTTTAAAAAAAGGCAAGCAGCCGCTTCAAAGTCTTTCGGTGATAGTATTTGCAGAAATCTCCCTGGGTGTCTGCAATCGCCATAAAAGCTTCACTCTGGGATATATTATAAAGTATAACGGCTATGTTGTTTTTCCTGTTTATGCCTCTGGCTTAGGTTTCTGTTATCAGTGGAACCTACCTTGGCTTGGATTACATGAGTAAGCAAAACGGAGGTGAAGGCGGTATCATTATCAATATGTCCTCTTTAGCAGGTAAGGACAAGTATGACATTCGTAACAATTACCTATTGGTAATTTGGACCACAAAAGTAAATCTTCCGAGTATATTTGTTATCAACTCAGGTTGGGAATTGAAATTTAATTTAATTGATTTGTTTTGTTTTGTTTTTACTGGCTCTATGGAATTTTCTCTTGCATAATATCAGAAGTTTGAAGTATATGTTTAATTCTATTACTTTAAATTGTGACTTTTTAAGCTCCCTTACTGTGGCACTGAGCAGTAATGCATATGAAAGCATCTCTGACAAAGTAAAAAGAGTGGTAAAACACAGTACGGTATCTCTACTCCCATGTGATTTTAGAAAGAGTATATAATTTAAAAATATGGCATATATAGTAGTTGGGATCTGTTGTAGGGGAGGCCAGACTTTACCTGTAGTTTCTTAGGATCTCTGGCTGGGCCTGAGAATTAAATCGACGTAAGACAGATGAACAGGAAAAAAGGGTATAGATTTTTACGTGTACATCAGAGTCCCCATAGGAAAACCAAGCCCCAAGAATGGCTAGGCCTAAGCATTTATAAACAAGGTTGAACAAAGAGAGGTAATTGTGGGAAAGCCACTAAGATATTTAGGGGGCCTAAAGGAAGATGAGAGTTATTTTAACAAGGTCTGTACAGATTTCCGTTGGCCTCAACTCCCCATCTCTGGTGATAAGAATGTTTCTTTCCTACTGCTATAGGAAGGACATATTTTACATGGGAGTTTTATCACCTGCTTTCAGGAGGAAAAGGAGAGGTCGGAGTGCCCTTCTTATACCTGCTGTTTTTGAAGTGCCTTTAGCTCCAAATAATTCTTATGCCAAAATGACACATTTTGGGGTGACCTATTCTGCCACCCTTCAATGCTAAACTGCTGTAATAAATACACCCAAATATGTAATGGCTTAAATGTAGTATAAGGTTATTTCTCACTCATATATCAGTCCTGGGCAAGATCCTTGTTGCCAGGAGCCTCTTCCATATGCAGTCATTGGGAAAACTAGCTGGCTGAGCTCTTTGACATGGAGCTTCCATAGTTATGCTGGTGGGGGTGGGGTACGGTGGGGTGGGGACTCCTTTCTCTGCAACAGAAATAGAGAGCATGGGGTGGGGGGGCAAAGCTACCTTTCTAAACCCCTCTACTCCCAGCCTCACTTATATTCAGGTTCCAGAACAGAATTTGATCTCATGGCTCACCTAACTATAAGAGGGTCTGAGAATGTCATCTAGCTCTGTGCCTAAGGGAAGAATGGATTCCAGTAGATGGCTAACAGTCTTTGCCACAACGTGTAATCCAAACTGTTTTATTCAGGGCAGTAGGATTTAATACCACCCGGTACCATATTACTCAATAGTGGCTATAAATCTTTGGCAGAACTGTTGGAGCAACTTAACCAGATGACTTGACTTCTAAAAATTCTAGGGGGAAAAAAAAATCACCAATGCTTCTTCAGTAGTTCAAATGAAATTATGAAGTTTAGAAGTCTGACCAGTAGTGACAGTGAGTCGTCTAAACTCTGCGTGTCCCAAAGCAGGGAGACTTCCTTACATTATCTGGTTTCAGTCACGTGGTAATTTCAGAACAGGTGTTCCCCGCCTCTCCCCCGGGCCCCACCTCCCAGTTCCAGTTGTATTTCAGGGGTCAGGTATGGAAGCACCTGCGACCACATCAGAGATCTGATTCTCAGCTTTGTTTCTCAGCTTTGTTCTTTCTCCTTCCTCTGGGCTTCGTTGTCAGATGATCGTCTTTAAACTCTTCAAACCAAGGGAGGCTTAGAAATCTCCTTCTTGAGACGTTCTCAAAAAACAGACTAGCATTTTGGTTTCTGGGTTGCTTAAAGACAAAATGACATCCCTAAAGTTATTATAGAACCAATTCTACAAGTTTTTTAGGGTAACTTGGTTATTTTTCCTAATGTTACATCTACTTATAAATGATAACATTTTGGGCGCCTGGGTGGCTCAGTTGGTTAAGCGACTGCCTTCGGCTCAGGTCATGATCCTGGAGTCCCGGGATCGAGTCCCGCATCGGGCTCCCTGCTCAGCAGGGAGTCTGTTTCTCCCTCTGACCCTCTTCCTTCTCGTGCTTTCTATCTCTCATTCTCTCTCTCTCTCAAATAAATAAATAAAATCTTTAAAAAAATGATAACATTTCAATTCTGAGGATGTGGTAAAAGGAGAGAGCATGGGCAAGACTTAGATATTTGGCCCAAGAGAGAGCCACATTTTAGATTCTGGGAGTCTGAAACCCTAGAGGCAAATTGCCAAGGCTATATCTGCACCATTTTGAAATGAAATTATAAGGGAAAAAATACATAAATGATTGGAGAATTAACAAGAAATATTTGATATCTTAATAAAAGTAGAAATGTAGAAAAACATGGGGTGGTGATCAAGAGATAATCGCATGGGTTGTGTCTTGAAGCTAAAGGGCTAACAAGGATTGAAGAAGCATGAACCCTGTCCAGGGAACCCCTTGCCCTTCTGTCACTGGAGGCATTTCTTTCATTCCCAGCAGTCTGGAAGTCTTAGGGCTAGATCAATTTTGGACTGTTTGAGACAGTCTGTACCATAAGAGGAGGCTTAAAAAAATTGGGGGGGGGCTTACTTGCCTCAGAGCATAATTAAGAAATGCAAGGTACTACTGCCTTTTGTCCAATAAAAATATTTAAAGGTGTCATCACACAAACACTCATTGAGCACTTACTGTTTACACAATACTATTTTAAGCACCGTGTGTATATTACCTCATTTAATACAACCACCCCATGAAGTAGATTCTGTAATCTCCATTTCATAGAGAAGGAAATCAAGGTAGGAGAATTTGAGTATCTTGCACAAGCTTACACAGCAAGGCAGCAGTAAAGCTGAAATTCCCATGCGAGCAACCTGATACAGGACCTCTTCTGTCTTAATCACCAGGTGATCTAACTCTTCTGTCCGTGAGATTGTTAATTTGGCTCTCCATCCGTGACTAGGTTAGCCCAACTGTGAGGTAAAAGAAACTGACTTCCTATAACTCCATGAAACCAGTGAAATGTGCTAGTTATCTTCAGGCCTTCTGGGCACTGCTTTAATCTCAAGACCACATAACTAAACCTCAGTGATATCTTAAGCTTTTGCCCCACTTGACACACAGAGTAAAGCCCTGAAAACATCTGAGGAGGTTACCAAAGTCACAAGTCAAAACACGTCATTGAGAAGCGCAATTTAAGGATTACAATTAGACGTCCACTTTGCTTTCTTGGCTAAGAGCTTGCTTTATCACACTACCCACCCCTGGGTATTCATTCTCTTCTTACCTGTTTCAGAGTCAACATTTGGAACCGTGTGTGAATCTTTCTCTAATCATGCAGATGAAACAGTGAATAAATACAAATTCAGTGATAAGATCGTTTTGGTTTCAAATTACCTTTCTGGCACTCTTACAGTTTAATGAATATCATAGCATTCCAGACTGCTTCTCCACCTAACATTCCTCCCAACCAGCAGGGTAACTCTACTTATAATGGTTACGTAGCTCATCTTTGTCCATTCTGTTTAATGTGGTGCCTTCATCCTTATGTAGAGACGTACCTTCCCTCCATAATGCCTGACCTCTATACCTGATGCCTTTATACTGTCTCTTTGTTGTCACTGGCCAAACTAGGCAGGCCCTGCCACCTCTCTTCCCACCCCGGGTTTTGGCACTAAGGTCCTTTCATCTCACAAAGAGGATGAAGATGCATTGCCTTGTATTCTATCCAATCCCCAAGAGCATCTCTTCTTCCCACAATAAGATTAGTTTGATAAACACTTGGGGTTTTGTAATAGTAGAAAAAGATCAGTGAGAACTTCTCTGGCTTCACATTTTCCTCAGAAATGTTACTAACAAGTTTTAAACCCTTGAAGTCATAGCCTGTTGGGAGAGGCCAGATGACGAAAAAAGTCTTTGAGGAGTTACCAGAGTCAAAGTATTTTTCCCCCAGCTTTACTGAGGTATAAATGACAAAATCTAGGAAAGACATTTCCAATGCTTGCTTCCTCTGTGTTTTCCAGAGGTGTTTTCCAAACTTTCTGTCCTCAGATTTGTTCCTATTTCCCCCCTACTGGTCCCTCTATTAAAGGACTAGCTGTGGGTGCTGTTGAACTCCACCAGTCTTCCCTCACGATCTCTTACATAGATTCACTGGAGTCCTTCACTGTCAGTAAAACCTTAAGTTGAAACACTGGTTTGGGCAGAGAAGTTAATGAGTAATGACCACTGACGCAGACCAAGTATCAAATGCAATTAATAAGTTTAACAAACAGGAGTCAAGTGGAGAGAGATTCCTCCGAGTATTGAGGGAAGGGTGTGCGCCAGCTGGGAGCTCCAGAAGATGTTCTGAGCACTGTTAACAACCTAGACTCTTCTCTAGGAGTTTCTGTCTATAAACACAGTATATAAAGCTGGACTCATGTTGACGTATTCATCCTTAACTATTAAAAAAAAATTGAGAGGAACAACAACAGATCAGCATGAAGTCTGGTTTAATGCGGGTCATTCAACAGCTGTGGTCTGAGCACAAGACATCCGGTGAGAGTCAAGTGTGCTTCCTCTATAGTTCATTGCTTCAAACAGTGGGAAGGATGAAGTAGTTGTCACAGGAAAAGCAATCTGCCTCTACCTGCCTACATACCCAGCTGCTGAGGTCCTGGTGTTCACTGGGAGCATTCTCTGTGCCTCTGAGACAGGCACTCTGGGGCATTTTGTGAGAGATCCTATTAGGGTCTTATTTACTGAGATTAAAAACCGTAAATAAGAAAACTTATTTTCTGAAAACATTAGGGTCTCAAGAAAACAATCATAGGTTTTTTTTTTAGCATGTCTTAAATACCAACCCAGTATCATACTTACTTGAGCTATACATTTCATCTAAGCTGATATAATTAGCTTGTAGTTTGTGTTAAGGTGGATGTCCTAAAGATACCACTTTAAGTAACAGATTCAACTTAATCAAGCATGCATTGAGCA